TCCTTTATGGCTGGGAGAGACAGAGCTGTGTCACAGGACCCATCATTGAACGCGTGATGTTGTAGTTACCTTCCACTGTTGAGGCACTTTTCCTCTGAAGGTTGCGCAGTCCGGTATCTAGAAATGCCGAGTAGGCTGGTCCCATGACGCAACCCTGTCTCCGGGGACGCGTCCCCTGGCGGAAGGATAGGATACGGACCATGGACACCGAAATGTTGGAATATGGTCTCAGAAACGTTCAAATTTGACCTTGAAAATAGCCCTTTCAGCTCGTGTTATCGGTCAAGAACCAGAATGTACGGAAGATTTGATGACCGAAGCGACAAAACAGTACTACGACAATTTCCAACCTTCAAACATGCCGAAGGCATCTTTTGCTTAATATTTCCGAGTGCATAATGAGCAAGTAATTATTCTTTTTTATTAATAAACATTGCTAAAAAGGCCAGAATACAATGAAAGTATGTACAAACAAATCTCTGGCGTGGTCTTCATTAAGGATCAGAACAGTTAGCTTCTCGAGCAGAAATTACTGTTACACGTGTGAAGGGTAACAAGAAATAAAATAGAATAGGTACGTATTCAGATTTTACGAATTCTCTTTTCGACGGCTTCTTTTGCTTTGAGCATGTACTCCTCGTACTCGCGCTAAATTGTTTTACGGAATCATTTCGTTCTCAGATGTGCGAATTAAAAATGAAGTACTTGGACGCTGAAAAGAAGGTGCACTTTAGCGAAATACTTCGCTACATAGAAAATTAATAAACTCGGCGGAGGACGATGATTGGTAGAAACCTTGGAATAATTCTTACGGTACAGTACTTTTTCCGTGATTCCATCACTATGCATGAAGATCCCTTTTAGATGTTAGGATCAAAATCTTGACTGGGCCAGGAACCTGTCTTGAGGAACTGGGTGAACATCCCATGGGGAAAACGGCTGGGACACTACGCCCCACCCCCTTCCCCTCTGAGGGAAGACTTGGCACAACCCACTCTGGTAAAAACCAACAATCCTGACCCTCCGAATGTCGAGCCATGTCGAGTACGAGGGAAGGGGAGGGGGAGTGGGAAAGAGATTTCATATTATATGCCTTCCTTCTTTTCCCATGTCCCTTCCTCTACAACCTCTTCACACCCTTATCAACAACTCAAATACAGAACGATCTCCTCCCGTTTCGAGCACTTCTCGACTAAAGTTCATCCTGGGGCGGTATTCAATCCTTCCCCCAGGGGGATATATCCCCCTACCTCTGATTCAATCCTCTGGGGGGACAAAAAAGGGTTGCGTCATAGGACCTAGCATACCTCTGTGTTTCTACCTGCCAGACAGTTAGAGCAGCGCTACTACCCTCCACTGATGAAGCACTCTTTTCCCCTGGCTACACAGTTGCGAATTCGGGACCGGCACATCGAGCAAAACATGCATACTGGTCGACACAGTGCGCAGTTTTGTGCTTGAGATTCGCACAGATGCTAACAGCTGACAGAAGAGACACTCAACCCTTCTAACATGCTAATCTTCTTCTTTTACAGCCGAGGAACACTGTCGCAATATGCAGCAATATTAAATGGCAACGGCTTAGAGTGCACTTTTGGCAAACATAGAGGCAGGTTAAGTTGATGAAGGGAATCGGCACTAAAATACATAACTGTTAAACAGCATACCTCAGGCAACTGAGACGCAAAGTCTTCAAACTTCCTGAGCTGATTGACGATTCCTTTAAGAGTGAGGAAATGTTCGTGTAAATCGAGACACGAAAGTACGTCTTCAACCTTCTCGCTACGCTTCGTAAGAGGGATCTTGAATGTAGTTAAATAAGCATAGAACAAGAATAGGTCTATTGCTTACACTACCTTATTTTCATTCGTATTCATCAGCTTTATCAAGGGTTCGTTGGTGGTATCGCTGACAATTCTGGAAGTAAAACGTAACTCTGCCATCGAAACTGTTTTGTAAGGAAGAAGCCAGAAACTGCTCCAGCATTCCAGGTACCAAATACCAACCGAGATACTGGAGGATGCTGTCTAACGGATTTGCGCCTCTGCAGTTTTTGTAAATACTTCTCCGTGTGCTTTTCGAGAGAACACAATGACTTGGCATAGTTATTCTGCAAGAACGATAAAGACCAACATGTTGTGAACAGTAGTAAACGGATTTGATTAGTACTGAGCACCAACCTGATCACGTTCTAGTAGTTTCCTCTGTCCCTTGAATGCTATGTCTAGGAATGGTTCCGAACCAGGAATTCCATATCTTTCAAACATTGATTTCATGCGGTTTTGCCATTCTTCTGTTATTTTTCGCAATTCTGTTTCGGCACTAGGATTATTCTGAAATATTTCCACTTGGTTTTACCCGAAAATGTTCACCCTGCCAAGATCCAGTGAGTTTGAGAATCTGAATCTCATTGTGACATGAGAAACAGATAGCAGATTAGCAATAGCAAAAAGATAAACATTGTAATACCGGAGTAAAAAGACTAAAAAAGTAGTAACAAGCCTCTTGACTGACTATTCATAAGTCTCTTTCATCTGTGTCCAAATTTTGAAGCGCTTTTCAAAAATAAAGAAAATAGCTCCGGAAGACTGCAGCAAGAATGGTTTTTTGTGGAAGGTAAAGCTAACTTCTTTAGAAAAAAAAAGACTTAGTTCACGGTTATGCAATCGGCCTTGTGCTTGATGGCTTAACCTTCGCTGCTGCCATTGCAACTATTGTACAAGTAGCGAATATTGAGGAAAATCATCGGAACATGTGAGATGTGACTTTTTCGAAGATTCGAAAGGAATGGCTGTTTCCAAAATTCTATTGTATAATTGCGTGGCAGTGGGAAGATGAAGCGGCATGTCCCTGCGTGAGCTACCGTCACTGGCGATTTTCACAAAGAGTATGATTACTCGGAAATCAGAACTAACCGAAGGTAGATCGGACGGTTTGAGCATAGCACTGAGAAGACGCTGGTACTGACTTTGGCAGGAGTCACTCGTCTCCGACACAAAGATGGGATCCAACTGGCTGAAACAGTGTAAAACATGAGGAAGCAATAAAGCAACGAAATTGAGAGATTTTACGGAGATTTCCTGAACATAAGTACTTCCAAAAACATGTAAGAGTTAGCACTTGAGAACACGAATCATGTCACATCTCTTAGGCATTCCAACTTCGATTTTAAAAATTCTCACGAAAATAGGCAAACAGAGAAACAATAGATGCTGATACTCACGGTGTGCTATGGTGTTCATCTGTTGAAGAAGTCGATGTAACGGCAGCTGAATGAATGTGGTTGCCATCCAGAAATGGTACAAAAAAGGACGTGTTTGTAGCCCAATGTTTAATAAGGGATAAACGGAATAAGTATTCCACCTTGATTGGCATTTGAGATCGTTTCTTTTGCAGCGGCCATTCGAATATGATCCAAACTGTCTAATACCTGCTCCTCCAATGGCGAAAACTGATCTAAAATTCGTTTGCTTTATTACTAAAAATATTTGGAGTAAATTCAGATATTCAAAACAAAAAACCAGACAACAGAAATTTAAAAAATTTGGAAAATGGAAAAATAAGATTTTCGAAATGTAGACGTTGAGGTGTAGCCGAAACGAGATGATTTCGACCTTGACTAGCTTTCGAGGTGGTTTCTCTTGCAGTAGA